ATGTTACCAGGGCCAGGCGTGGTAGCGCGCGCCTGTAGTTCCAGTTACTAGGAAGGTGGAAGCGGAAGGATCGCCTGAACCCAGCAGGTCCGAGGCTGCGGTGGCGGTGAGCGTGCCGCTGCCCTCCAGCCTGGGCGACAGCGTGACACTCCGAAGAGGGGCGGGGGATGGGGGAAGGGAGTAGGGAGGGAAAAAAAGTTACTGCGAAGCAACTGGCTACAAAAGCCGCTCGCAACATTGCGCCCTCTACTGGAGGAGCGAAAAAAACCTGCTGGTGGCCTGGTACCGCGGCCCCCACTGAAATCCCGCGAACCAAAAGTCTGCGGAGCTTCTGATTCGCACACTCCCTTTGTAGCTGTCTGGTGTTAGAAGTTGCCCCGACCTCAAAACAGATCTGCGCTTCCAGAGCACAGCTTTTGGTGCCTTGCAAGAGGCAAGCGAGGCCTATCTTGTTGGCCTTTGTGAAGACATCAACCTGTGTGTTATCCAAGTCAAGCGTGCCACAGTTTTGCTAAGAGAAGTCCTCGCCATATGCGTGGAGAACATGCTGAAGAATCCACTGATGGGAAACATTTCACTCTTTAAAAAAATTATCTTCCGGCCGAGCACAGTGGCTCAAGCCTGTAATCCCATCACTTTGAAGGACCAAGGCGATAGGATTGCCTGAGCCTAGGAGTTCGAGATCAGAGGGTCGAGACCAGCCTGGCCGACTTGGCAAGACCTCGTCTCTACAATAAATCAAAAAATTAGCCGGGTGTGGTGGCACATGCCTGTAGTTCCGGCTACTTGGAAGGCTGAAGTGGAAGGATCGCCGGAACCCAGTTTGAACCTCTGGGCTCAGGCAATCCTCTCACCTCGGCCTCCCTAAGTGCTGGGATTATAGACGTGACCCACCGCGCCGGGCCTGAAAAAACAGGTGCATTTCTTACGGCAATTACATGGTGTTTGTAGCATTTTTATCATGTGGTAGATCCCATCCATTCACTGTGCTTTTCTGAGTTGCCCTACATGCAAGTCCATGTTTTGTTGTTGTTGTTGTTTGTTTTTGTTTTTTTTGAGTTGGAGTCTCACTCTGTCGCCCAGACTGGAGTGCAGTGGCCGCTTCCGGCCACTGCAACCTCCACCTGCTGGGCTCCGGCCATCCTTTCCTCTCAGCCTTCCGAGTAGCCGGAATTACAGGCACATGCTACCATGCCAGGGTGATTTTTTTTATTTATTGTAGAGATGAGGTCTCAGCAAGTTGCCCAGGCAGGTCTCGAACCCGCAGGCTCAGGTAATCCACTCACCTCAGCCTCCCAAAGAGCGGGATTATAGGCTGAGCCACTGAGCCCGGCTACAAGTCCATGTTTTTAAATGTTGTCTGTCTTTTATGCTGTCCCTGAAAATTTACCGTTAAAATACATTAGACTAAAAAAAAAAAAGATGTAAAAGAAACTTTTATGTTGCCACTTCAGGAGACACACACACCCAGGTCCCAGAAACTGGTTTCCGTCTTCAGCAGCGGTGGCTGGTAGGACGTCCTTCCATTCCAGAGGCTTCTTGACCCTCAGGGGAATCTGATTCCTTCTTCTGAGAGATAGCCATAATTGGTGTCATACCTAAGAAGCAGAAGTATTTAACATTTTAATTTGGCAACTCTCATTAAAAAAATCTTAATCTTTAGCCCGGGCACAGTGGCTCACGCCTGTAATCCCAGCACTTTGGGAGGTTGAGGCGAGAGAATTGCCAGAATCCAGGGGTCGAAACGAGCCTGGGCAACTTAGCGAGACCTCATCTCTACAATAAATCAATAAATTAGCTGGGCGTGGTGGTGCATGCCTGTAGTTCCAGCTACTTGAGAGGCTGAGGTGGAAGGATCACATGAGACCTACGGGTCGAGGCTACAGTGACCATGAGCGTGCCACTGCACTGCAGCCTGGATGACAGAGTGACACTCTGACTCAAAAAAAAAAGAAAAACAAACCAAAAAACTTTAAGCTTTGAGATATATATATATATATTTTTTTTTTTTTTTTTTTTTTTTTTT